CGGCAGGCTGGTGGCGGCGATCGGGATTCAGGGGGGGCCCACCGGGCTCCTTTCCCCTTCCCTCCCTCCGCGGCGGGCGGCGCTGGAGGATTTTCTCCCGCTGGCGGCCCCCTGCTGCCCCCCAGACATGGTAGGTCACCTACAGCTGCAAGGGATGGACGAGAGCCTGAAGGAGAAGAGCCGGGAAGGCTTGCTGGACAGCCCGGACTCGGGGCTGCCCCCCAGCCCCAGCCCCCCTTTCTACTCCCTCTCACCTGGCGAGGGCCGAGCTGGGGGCAGCAGCGGCACGGACCCCCCGGCCCCGGGGCACCGGCGAGAGGCCAAGGACGGCAAAGTGGTAAGAGCCAAACCCTGGGTGCTGGGCTCTGTCCTCTCTGGGCCCCAGGGGGGAGAAGGGCTGGCCGAGCTCCAGCATAGGGGGCAGCGAGGAAAGGGCCTGTGCCCACTGACTGGGGCACCCCTGGGCTGTGTCCCCCCTCAGTGCCCGACCGCCTGCACTGGTGGACAAGGGTCTCCTGGGCTGCTTGTGCCCCATGGCGGCTGCAGTCCGGCATTGGCACCACCGCTGGTGTGCCCAGGCAGGGGGTTGGCCTGATGCTGGCCGGGGGTTTTCTGATACACTCACAGAAGTGGTGGCAGTTTGGCTGAGTAAGCTCTAATAACGGCATTGGGAGTGAAACCCAGATCTGAAACAGGCTCCCCTGCCTACCTTAAGAACAGAAAGGTGTAATTGCTTCTCAGTGACACTGTCCTGCCTGGTAGATAGAGGTTGGAGCTGCATCTGTCTGGACCAAGGCAGGGGAGTCCGGCTCCCAGCTGTCCTTACGCTCCAGCATCCCACATTTGTTTTCTCAGGAGCGTGGAGCAGCATTTGCTGGAGCCCTGGCTGAAAGAAAGACGAAACTGTCAGTTAACTCGGGGCAGGGTACGGATGTCTGTCCGGGGAGTTGGTATGGAGACACGGTCTGGGGAAGGTTGTGTGCTGCAGCCCTTTGCTGGAGTGGGGTTTTGTGGCATGAGCCTGCATGAAAGGTTTCTGCGCTGCATGGCCGAGCGGGGCAGGGTTAGTGGTTTGTAAGCTCAGACAGCTGGCGGTAGCACTATAGATTTCTGTTGTCCTGATGCAGTGCCAGTGAAGCGGTTGACTGTGGACTAGGGTTTGGATAGATTTATTGTGACTATTATTCTGCTTTATTTTGTTTATTTCTATCCCTTAGCTATAAAAGCTGTTTTTAAAATGCAAAGTTCAGAGCATAAGCAATGGTGGAGGTTTCTGAAGGATGATGAAAGTTCTTCCCCAGGGATCTTCCAAATTTTTTTTGACATACATAAAAGACATTTATAGGTGTATTCAACACAGTTAATTGGCTTCTATACGGAATAAAACCCGCAGCACAAATCTCTCCATGGGAAAAATTTATCTACCCATGGATTAGTGACAATTCAAAGACTTCTTCCTGGTAGAGACATTTTGCAATGACTTCTCACACCCTCATTTGCTTTCTCAAGTTCTAAGGCTATTTTAGCATATTACTGAAAACTGCCTTTTACTCCTGAACATGCCAAAACCTTCCCCATGAACAATGACTCCTTCTCACCAGACTACGGTGGGTCGAGTGTGAGGTGTTAATTATGAAAATCAAATCTCAAACCCGCTAACACTGCGGTTCCAAATATGGAGCCTTACCTGCAGATGCCTGGGCGTGTGTGCCATCTTGATGGGACTGTTTATGTACAAAGAGTTACCCACACGCCTCTGATTTGGCAGGATCAGGCTGTTGCTATGTATCTGTAAGATAAAATACGGGAGGAGGATGAATGAAGGCTTGCTGGACCAGAGAACAGCTGGGGTGAAGGTGTCTGCAAAGCTCTGTAATGAGGATATGACAGCCTCCATTCCAGTAATATGACAGTTGGCCACCACTCCTCCCTAGAAAGCCCTCAAAGAAAGATATTAAAGATGAAAGAGCACGAGAAAAACCTATTTCAGCTCTTGGGCTGTTAGGACTGAGAATTTTAGTGCTTGACTGCTATGGAAAAAAAGTTACTCCTGTGATCTGTGTAAGGCAGAATTAAGTTTTCCAGTTATTTTTTCATTTTGATCATAAATGAACATTTTACACATGTCAGAGGAACTCACACTGTAGACATTTCCAAATTCTGTATCACATTGTAACAGCACGGGTAGCCCTGGGCTCCTGCTGTTGAGAGTATGGGTTTCATACACTGTGTGTATTTCCATGCCTTTAGTAGGTACAGAAGGTTGCAGAGATCCTAACACTGAAACCAATTTGACTGTATTATTTGGAGTGGTGCAGGACCGTGTTCTTTAACTCTGACTGTTTGATACATTGCAAAATAATTAAGTAAATACGAACTTTCACTCTATTTGATTGTACAGTTTTACTTCTTCTCATTTCCATCCTGCAAATACTGTACTTGCAGCTGTTATTAAGAAAGCAGGAAAAATATGGAGAGCATTGCTTTCTTCATACTTCTAAATTTCAGTGTCTAATTAGCTTTAATCTTGCCATTTAACAAGGACTTGCAGATCTATGAGCAATTATGCAATCCATGAATGTGCTTCTGTTTAACTCTACTACTACGCTGTTCATCAGAGCATGCAGAATTGGCAAATCAGTATTGCAGCTATCTGCACACCAAGGCATGCTTTTTTAAATAGCCTATTATATTAGTGTTTGTTTTGCTTATAAACGTGACACCGCCAGGAATGCAGCCTGCACTCTTTGTGTTGTAATACTATAAAACCATATATAAGCTCAGTCACTAATGGCCAACATTCTAGTATGTACAGTTACAATAAATTGCTGTCAGGTGAAGAAAACAACATTCCAGAACTGTGGGAAGTATTTCATACTATTCCTTGCTCCAGACCTATCAAAACCACCAGGCTGAACCCAGTTGTGTTCTTTTGCAGTCAGCTATTTTGCTCCAACTTCACAAATATGTTGAAGAATTTTTCTGCTCTAGGACAGCTCTTCTCATACAGACCAAAATGAGATTGCATTCCCTTATCGAAGACTTTCTTATGTGTAAAATCCATGCTCGCCCTGCTTTGTGTTATTAACTGTGACTCTGAAAAAGTAAACTCTCTTCTCTTTAATAAGCACGACTTTGTTTCAAAGACAATGCACCATTTATTCACATTTAACCAGCCAATTTGGCTACAGCTTTGGGATCCAAGAAAATATGAAAGGCAATTTAGGGCCAGAGTCATAAATACCACAAGTTCAACACCATTTAGGGACTTTTTTTTTTTTTGCATTTTACTTGCAGTGCAGGAGAAATTGACTTTTATTTCTTCAAATAAAGTCCATGTAGGGAATTTGTCAATCGTTTTGTGCTTAAGTGCAAATATGCTAATGAAAATAGAAGGTGACTTTTACCTAGTTCTGCCTTTTAAATCTGAAACGTGATTAAATTGATTCTTAGGACTTGGGTTTTTGAATTCCCTAGACTTTGTGTGTAATGCTGGGCCAAAAGGAACATAAATACAATGAAATAAATCTCTTCATAATTTGCACAAAGAAGCAGTTGCTGGAAGAATAGGGAATGAAATGACATCAAGGTAGCCAGATCTGCTTAGGGTTTTCCCTGTTGTTGCCCTGGGATGTAGTTCTAGGCTAGAAGAACTGCTTTTGGGCTGTGCTGAAATAAGTGCTTTGCATTTAGTAGTGTAACTCCTAATGGATATCAGGGGAGATCAGGACCATGTTCATCTGCAGAACTATCTGTCGTGCCTTCTTGAAGCAGCAGACTTCTTGTCCTTTCCCAACACTGTTGCCACTGCAACAAGTTCCTTTTTATTTGAAAGACTTAAGTATTTGTGCGTTCAACCTGCCTCACTGAGCACTGAGTTCTGTAGCACTATATCCCAGTAGATCAGCTGTCAGATGGATGCCCCCATGTAGGGAATTTCTACTTACATTCAGGAGCTGTGCTGGACAACAGTGTGGTGTCAGAATCAGTCTCCTGTGGTGGGAGGAGATTCCAGCTTCATCTCAAGTGCAGAGGAGGAGGATACCTTGCCCCTTGGCACAGCCTTCACAGGCACGGTCCCAACAACGAGGTCCAGGTCAGCATGTCTGTCAACCCTGTTGGATTTATGGCTGATATTAAAAAAAAAAACCCCAAAACCAAACCACCTCTTTCCGACATGCTGCATTTTGAAGAGCCCTTGGGCCACAGAGCCAGCATCTCATCCTACACTGAAAGCGCTCCAGGAAGGGGGACTGTCTTGCGGGGACTGGGTGGGGAACATGGTCATCAAAGGGTTTCCAGGCGACACGTAACTTCAGACCTGCCAACACCTACAGTGAACGCAGGTGTGAGAGAAAGGCCCAGCACCCCCAACCTGAGCCAGCTTGCAGCCCGCACACGAAGCAGGTGACATGACTCTCCAAGCCCACGTGGGTCCCAGCAGCTCTGGGGAAAGCCCCAGGCTTGTGCAGGGAGCGAGGCACCCATCTGGCACAGCAGCAGAGCTTGCCTCAGGGGTTGGCATTTGCAGCCCGGCATCCTGACCCACTTCTGAACCGCTCCCACGGGGCGGGATCCTGCAGGAATTCCCCCGGCAGGGCTTGGCGGTGGTTTCAGTTTCACGCCTGTGTCTGCTTCCTGGCAAAGGCTAACCCCACCTGGCTGTCCCCTGACCCTCAGCCCCATCCAGTTCTGAACACGCACCCACTCCTCTTCCTCCTTGGTTCAACGCCAGCAGCGAAGGAGGGGGAATGGCTCTGGGCTTCACCTAATCTGCAAACCGTGACAGACATCTCTTCTGGGCAGATCAGGGAAACAGTCGTGGCGGTCTCCTCATCTACTTTGAAAAATGTGTCTGTATCTAGGGTGGTGTTTTCTAGCTGTTTAATTTCCATTGCGTCCCTGCGTAACTCTGTGGACAATAAGCAAAGCAGCACACATTTTCCACCTGAAATAGAGGAGGGAGACAGGCAGGAAGGATGTAATTCTTTGAAATAATAAAGCCCTGCTTTCTACCTGAGGTCTGCATTTACTGTTATCACCTCCAAATAAAATCTCATCCGGCTCTAATATAAATTACTTGTAATGTGCAATACATGAAGATATTGGGAAAATAAATAGTCTGTTAAACAAATACTGCTTATCAGCTAGAGCGGAGAATGTGGATGTGTGTCAAATAACTCAGCCAGATCTTTCATTATAGCTGTAAATAACAGCTGAGTAAAGTGACATTTTCATGGACCTGACATGTTACCATAGTGGGAAAATGTGGTGAGAGATTTGCTTATGCCCTAGCTAAGTTAGGAGCTGGGAATTTGGGAAGCTGTATCCTGTTTG